ATCTCCACTAACGGGGCTCCTTGCCAACTGCAGAAAATGACTTGACAATGAACGGAAGAAATGCATCCGGACACTCAACGCATTCGCAGTCTCACAAAAGGGAGCTTTACCAGCATCCGGGTCAAAATCAAAATGAAGAGACCCTAGTTCGGCCAGTCTTGGACGGTTTTGATTTGACCGACGACGAAAAGTCGTCTCGTTCTGACGACGTACCCGGAGCCAATCCACCCGCAAACGATCCCAGCCACGCATTCAATGCCTCGTCGGTACAGGTGCCTTCGACACAGCATCCAAACGGCTCAGAATTGCTTAAACTTACGTCAGACACTGACGCCAACTCTCACCGGTCGACTCACACGACACCGTACTCGTCCAGTAGTTCCGTTGGAAGTCAATTCCGGGCTACAAATATAGACGGATCAAGTGGCACTCAACCTCCTGTTTTTGCACCGGCAGTCTCCACCGTTGCTGCGATTTTCGACCTCCGGTCGATATACGACATCAATGTTCCTGCTTCTCACGCTCTCAGGTCCCCTGGATCGTTGGGCAGACCGTTAATCTTACCCCCACCGCCTTTTCCCTTCGTGTGGCCCTCTATGCCTCCCCAAGAAGTTCTTGGGCTCAGTGTTACACTATGGCAAAGTGGAGATTACCGGTCAGCGTTCCGGATGTGCCACTATGCTGTCACCATCGGCTTGCATGAGGCTTTTGTTCTCAATTACCAGCGGGCAGAAAAAAAGTGTCACCGAAAAGGACCGCAGGATCAGGCGGGTGGCTCATCTGGTAATCATTCGAATGCTGTCGCACAGTCCGGCGTCTTTCCTGGCTCACCGATGTTTGCGGGCCAGTCAAAGCATCAACGCACTGCGGTGCTGAACTTCTCACGGAACAAGTTGAAGAGACTGTCAAACCAATTCCCGGCACACCTTATGGCCGTCGCTTTGTACATTCTGTCGTCACATCTTCTAGAAGGAGTGGGTTGTCCTCACGATTACCCGATGGCTGCCTCAACATTGGAAGCTGCGGCCTACGTTTCTGTTGAAGGTCTTCATGCGGATACCATTTCGTTGCTTTTCGCAAGAACTCCTCCTTTGGCAAGACATGCGCCAAAGGGACACGGTGATAGGCACTTAGCGACCGGCAAGGAAGCGGCCTCCGATACTGGCAATCGCAGGTCCAGCATGTGGGATCGGAGAAAAAGCTCTAGCCGGCCGCGTCCAGAGCATCTTCAATCCGCACAAGAGCCAAGCGCTTCTGGCCGTCTTGCAATGGCACTCCTGTCCCCCCAGTTTGTCGAACGGTCCGCGAACCGGCAAGAAGAAATCTCGTACGTAGAGCCGGATCGAACTGCAGATCGAAGCCGGCGTTCTTCGTGGCTGGTCAAGCCAGGCGATAATAAAGCGAGCCGACACCGTGAGCAAAGACACCCAGGTGATGCCCAAGCAGCGGACATTGCGCGACCGGACCGCGCTCAAGGACACTCTCTATCTGCGGACATCGTCGCCAATGGTCCTGTCAAACGCAGGCCGTCCCTGAAGCTTCTTTCTCGAAGAAAATCCAATGCGGGAAAGGGTGACGGTGGTTTGCATTCGCCTCAGTCGGGACCTGTTCGCCCCGTCGCCGGCCTTCCTAAATACTCGACTTCGTCCTCAGAGACATCTTCTCAGACCACATCTGCATCTTCTGCAATGACAACATTCTGGGATCATGTTCCAGTGCAAAATGCTGCTCCTATGCTAATTACGGCATCAGCCTGGCAGTTGTTGGTCAATCAAATCCACCGTCCCTTCAATGAAGCGGCTTTGGTTAACCTGCCCTCCCAGCCCGGCAGGCCTGTCGATGCCCCACTACTGGGATCGCGTGCGTCAGACGTGTCGCTCCCTGGGGCCCAAGACTTTACTCGGCTGCTTATGCTTCGTCTTGCGGACCTGTTTGTCTCGGGTCGGCCTGGCGTACGCCCTTCGCGCGAAGCGGCTCAGTATTATTTGAAACTCGCGAAGGCTCTAGCGGCTGTGCGGCCAGCCCACACCGCTTCCGACCGATCCGGATACGAGCGGGCGCCAGAAGCTCGGCCGCTGGAGCGCCGCGTGAGCCTGAAGGATCGGATTCTGGGCCGCGGCCATCGGCAGACTGCAGGGCAACGACCCGAAGTTGCGACGGCGGCCCCCCAGTCTCAGCCAACAACCCTGCAGCAACGACAACACCATCAGCACTACCGCCAGCAGCAGCAGCAACAGCAATTCCCAGAGCCTGCCTTCGGGATGGGCCGCACGAATACCCTTTCGGGGAAGAACAGCCGGTCGCGGAGCCGCGGTCGATCACTTGGCGGCGGTGGCGACCCGACCGCCGTGGTGGGAGATGCAGCGGCCGTGCCCATGACGCGGTTGTACGAACCATCCCAGAGTCAGGCCGCTGACCCTGCTCACCATGTCGGGTTTGCGGGACTCGACCGGCCCCAGCCGGCGACCTGGACATCGCGCCCTTAAGATTGATGACTTTTGCTTTGTCCCCGGCCCCTCCTCTCCCCTTTCATCATCCTTACCTTCCTTGTCTTTATTCTTCTAGCTCTTTTCCCCATCTGCTCTTTTTGCACAAGACTTAGATTTATCACTTGTCTTCTACATATACGATTTGCAAAATGAAGAGGGCTATTACATTTTTTGTTTCACCTGAGTCAGAGCAACCACACAGCCACCAATGCCGGACCGCTACTGGCCACTTCATCGTGTCGCTGGGCAGGAGGATGTATGGGTGGCGCGTGACGAGGCGACGGGTGAGGAGGTCGTCATGAAGCGCATGGAGAGGGAAACGAACTCGGACTACGAGGAGCTCAACCAGCAGATCATCCAAGAAGCACACACCCACAAGGAGCTGGCCGAGGCGTGCCCAGAGCGCATCATCGGCTACCGCAACTTTTATCTCGATGACGAGGGGTACTACTGCCTAATCATGGACCGGTACGTCTTGTTTTCTTTCTTTTCCAAGTTGTCGTTGCTCGTGCAGTCGGTCGTCTTCACTATCGGGTTCTACTCACGGTATGTTTTTCAGTGCTGACTGCACAGTGTCGGATCTCCTGCAGATGCGTGGCTGCCTCGCAGAGCAGGATGCCCAGGTCCTGGTGCACGCGCTATTGGAAGGCCTGGAATTCATGCACAAGCGCTACATCCTCCACAGGGACTTGAAGCCCAGCAACCTGTTCCTTGTTGATCGCCAGGACCTCAACTCCCTTCGTCTTGCCGACTTTGGAATCTCTGCTGAAGAGAATGGATATTCCAACGTTGGCGGCGTCAAAGGGACCAATGGCTACATGGTAGGGTAAAAACTGCGGTTTGGGCTAGCTTGGTTGTTGCTTGGGAACTAATGCATATTCTTGACACACACACAGGCTCCGGAGGTGCTCAAGAAGACACTGTACGGTCGGCCAGTCGACATGTGGTCAACGGGAATCATAACGTACCAGATACTGCGAGGAAGGCTTCCTTGGATTGGCAATCCTTCTCGGCCTTCAGAACGGCTTGTTCACAGCAATATTATGAAGGAAGACGGCTTAACTGACGATGGTGAGTTGTTGGGCATTCACACCATTCTTTTTTCTCAGTTTGTAAGTCATTTAACCCACATATCAATCTTCAGCAAAATCATTCATCACAAGTTTGCTCAGGGTAGAGCCGCCGCAACGCCTGACAGCAACTCAGGCTCTCAATCATCCCTGGATGCGCAGCATGACCCGCCGGGCAATGCGTGCAGTGTCTCAACCACCGAAGCCGCACAAGCTTCAAGTTGTCCCAGAATATCTAGACGACTTTGAAGGGTGGGTTCGATTGTGGCAGGCAAACGGCCCGCCGTACTATTTCCACGAACCCACCGGAACAACTCAGTGGACGCACCCTAGAGAGAACGATGCACAGGCGCCAGCGTCATCACCAGATCGCAAGCCCAACCAGCAACAACGACAGCAGCAAGCGAACGAGCCGTCCAGTCGCAGCTCCTCGGATAGGGCACCGTCGCCCATGGACATCCTGACCGGCTCGCCGTCTCCATCGCAACGCACCTCGCCCTCCCCCTCCCGTAACCAGTCTGCCGCAGCTGGCGGTCTCGCTGCGCCGCAAGGCAAGCCGCTGAACTCGTCGCGCAGCCCGGACCTCCGCCTGCCCCGCCCGGCACCACTTCGCCGTTCACCCGTACCCGACGACCACCCGTCTGATCGTCACAACAACCTTGGCCTGCGATTCCAGGACGAGCTATCCGCTGTCGTCTCTGCTGCTGCTGCCTTCCGTTCAGCTCACCGTGCCACACAACCCGCTCAGTCGCCCGCCACCACGACGCCCTCTCCTGCCGCCGTCGCCGCCGCCGCAAATGCAGCCGGCCCCCTACCGCCCGACGTTTACGCGCCGCGCCAGCGCCCGACTGACCGCCGCGGGTCGTACCCGAGCCCGCGCTCGTCACCGCGCCCAGGCCCCGCCGTGCCGCCAAAGCCCGCGCAGTTAAGGGCCGCGGCTACAGGTGGCGCCGATGGCGGGGCGACGGCGTTCTCTGCGCACTTCAATGCCCCTCCCAGACTGGCGTCTCTGGTCGCTTCGAAGGTCATGGGCAGAGACCGGCGCTAAATAGTGCTCGGAGACTTTCTTCTCTTTAGTATTTCATTTTTTGTGTCGTGCGCGATCCTACCTGTCTGAAGTGTGCCACTTTTCCCCGCCTCTTTTGCCCATCCTACCCATCCTCATGCGAATCCAATCCGGTGTTTTCCACTCTCTTATCTCCGTTGTGATGTGAGCGTTGGTTTAGCCTTGTATCTGGGATAGGGGTGTTACGACGTGATGACCTGAACGAACATTCCTAAAATTCAAATTGCTTTCCGGCGACACACCGAAGCGGGTTAGGGCAGCGTAGTGAGCCGGTTCGCTTTACCGGTTGATATTCGCCAAAGATAGTTCTTATAACACGTCAGTTTCACACTAACAAAAGAACATTATATAATGTAAATTTTTACAATACCCAACGGCCATGTGGTGTAGTGGTACCATATCTGCCTCCGAAGCAGGAGATCCACGGTTCAATCCCGTGCATGGTCGAGTTCAGGTTTGCGTAGCTGTTTTGTTGCTACTTGCTGCTGCTATACGCCGTTTGGGCAACTTTTAGTATTTCAATATTGGCGTACAGTTCGTACATTGCTGAGTTACTCCAACTAATAATTTTGTGAAAGACGAGTGATAATCCCGGAATGAAGTGCGGCTAGTCCACAATGGTGATGGCGAAGCACGCTTCAAGGGGGGTCGCCCATGCGGGCACCAAAGCGGAGCTGGAAACGTCTGCTGGATAAGAGCTATTTTATCACTGTCGCGTTTTACATGACGGCCTTCGACCATCAAGAACATAAATGCTTGTCGATGAGCTCGGAAAGTTGCAACATGACGGAATGGGCACGAAGTATTGTAACACTTGTGGTCAAGGCCGCCATCTCAGGGAGCATTAGGTCGAGTGGTCGGATAAAAGAGGTGATTGTGTCAAGAGTCATCAGTAATCAGAAACCGCAAACGAATGACGGCCGCCACAACAGCACCGCTGCCGGCATCCATATCGCCATCGCGAAAGCCCAGGCTCGGGACTCCATTCGCTGATCCTTGTGCTGCTCTGTAATCTGCGCCGCGCTGTCGAACTACTGGGCCGACTCAAGAGCCAGGCTACCGCGGTCTCCATCGCCATCTCACTTTCACGTTAGCTGCCATATAGTTCACACCGGGGCTGTTGGTCCCGGTCCCCACTACGAAATTTAAGTAGAATCATTTGTCGACTGCTCAAAGTCGCGTCGAAAGATCCACCAGCACCTCCTGCTCCTGCCCCCTCTTTTCTCCATATGTCCCCGTCCCATTAATTGCCTACAGGGCTGCTACATGACAATGTTGCCTAAGAGACGGGATGAGCTTGACGATGAGCATGCAGTCGAGCTTCGGCATTGAAGGTGGGCCGCCAACAAGGCAAGTAAGGGGCAATGACGACGAAATCCATTTTGTGCAGCCTAGAAGAATGGAGGCGCTGTCGACAACAACGAGGCTGATAATGGCTGATAATTCCACGGGCGCCTCGCGATTTTTTTGGTGTAAAAAGCCCGTGGAGGCTGTTCTGTCACACAACGACACCTCATAGGCAAGCGACAGACCTTTCTATCATGTTTCGCGCCAGCCAGTCGAGGCGTCTCGAAGTGCAAGTGGTCCCTCCTTCACCTGATTGGCCAGACCGCAACGGCATGCAGGGCGGGCATGTGTGGGGGTCACCCGGCATAAGGTGGCACTAACAGATGGTCCGTGCCGACAGATCGTCGTTGAGCCCCTTATTTTATACATTTGGCCAAAAATTAACAGCAGCGCCAAAGACTGAGTGTGTGAGTTTCTTTGCATCAAATTTCGATATTTCAGCATCGGTTTTCTTGGATTTTCATCCGACTAAGAGAGAGACAGAGGGCATGTGGGTGTGTGTGATTGAGATTTTTTTTTCCGTGACGAAGCATCGTGCGACAGAGGGACGACCCAGCCATCGCCGTTGTCATCGCCGCCGCCTGGCCGCCACCGCCGTCGTCTCCTCCAACCCCGCAACAAACAGTCGCCGTCGCCATCAGCCGTCGTCCGTTGCCGCTTCCCACAGCTATTCCGGCTTATCCCACGCTGCGTCCAATATCTTGTCCGCGCAGTTTGTGGCTGTCAGGATCTACCTGCCCGTCCCATCTGACACACGCTAGACGGGAAGCATTCTGAGGAGGTAGAGGGCTCAGGCGCTGCTAACCTGCCGGTTAATAACCCACATTGCTTGGTACGTTGTGGGTGTTATGACCTTGACCGTTTACGCTCCCTGCCCGCGGTCTTGGGCAACTGGTATTCCCCTCCTCCCCCATCCCCGGTGTAAACGCATTCCCCCGGATCCTTCCCGGACGGCTGGCCGTACACCTGCGCTGCTTCAATCTCCTAACCTCCATGGTCCGTTCCCGAACTTCACTGCCTCTGACCCCCCCTCCAGCCACTCCGTTTGGTGTCGCTGTTGCCGCCTCCGGTTTTCAGGTGGGTCTTCCCTCCACCTATTCTCTCTGTCTCCCCGGTCTCGCAGCCAATGGACCCATGAACTTGCCAGACTTCTGTCTCTGCCTCTCAGTTCCTCTTCTGCCTGTCTCTTGCAGTAGTACCCTCGGTACCACCCATCACCCACCCCATTTCCCTCGTCTGTCTCTGTCTCTGACCCAGCTCCCACTGGTCCTCAACAGACTATGTCGGCGCCGCCCTTTGCGCCTGCCACCGTGGCCGGCCACAGGAGCCGCCCGCCATCGCCAGCGTCGACCGCCCGCAACTTCAAGCCAATTCACCATCTCCAGCATCCGCAATCCCAACCTCAATCCCAACCCCAACCACAACCGCAACCGCAGCAGCAACAGCAGCAGCAACCTCCACAGCAGCCTCCCGTCCTCCAGCAGCAACAGTACCAGCAGCAGCACCAGCAATCTATCCATATGCCGCCTCAACCTTACCACCACCACCCTCCACCACACCAGCAACCAGCCTATCATGCTGGTGCTGCCCACGTTGCGCACCTGCCCGCTTATCCGCATCCGCAGGTGTATCTTCAGGAACCGCCCCAACATATGCAGCATCTTCCCATACATCGCCAGCCCACTCAACCGCATCACCCTCAAGGCAGCACTGCTGCTTCCCAGTTCTCTCCTTACGTCTATGACAGACAATATGCCTCAAATTTGAGCGCACAACAAGTGCATTCGGCGCCTCAGCCACACTCTTACCAGCAGCAACCTCAGCGACATCAGTCACCGTACGTAACTCAGCCGCAGTATTCCTATCACCCGGGACCCAGCTCTTCTCACAGCGGCCCAGCTGTGTACACGGGACAATCTGGACCCTACCCGGTGGTCATTTCCACGACCGCCCCCCAGCCGTATCCACCCTCGTCCCAAGAGTTTGGCAGCTACGCTGTTCCGAACTACCCGTTAATGGCCAACTATAGTCAACCGGAATCCCATTACCCGCCACAATTTCAAGGGGCGCCTACAACCCAGTACCATCAATCTGGGTACAAAGTGCCAAATCAATACCAAGTGCCAAGTACGTCAAGCTCGGTTCAACCCTCGTATCCAGGGTTTTCGTATGGATCAAAAAATCAATCAGCACAATCCCCGGCCCTTGGACCCTCTCAAGCGCTCGCCAATTCCAACGAGTTTTCTTACAATGGGAACGCACCGTCGTCTTCGTCGACCGCTTCATCATCTCGCGCACCTCAGCCGAACTATACCCGACGGAACCACAGCGCTGTCGATTTGGTCGATGAGGTTGCCTCGCCGCACCAAAGCCCACATAATTCTCTCAGTAAAATGCCGGGATTGTTTGTGGCGGACAGAAAGGGCTCTGTTAGTGTTTATTCTGAGGATCCAAACGATGAGTCACAGCGTTGGAAACCTCCGGTGTACACATCTGTGATGGGCCCGAGACCTGAACCCCTCCGACCCCAGCCGCCGACTTATATGACCCAACCGCAATACATACCCCACGATCGAAAGGACATTTCTGTCGAAGAACGACCGGGATATCTTCTTCCGCAAGATACTACTTCGGTCGCTGCCAAGCGAAAACGCTCCTCGAAAAACGATCCAAACGCCGATACACGCTCCAATCAAGCAAGCATTAGCCAGTCCTTTGTCTCCTCAGCAATCGGCTCGGCCAACGGGGATAATCCTTCAGCAATCTTTTCCCGTCCCCAACTGGCTTCGGGTTCGGTTCCTGTTGCTCCGTATGCAACGCAACCAGATGAAATGCAGCCCGGAAAGAAATCGAGAAAGTACAAGAGGAAGCAAGTTTCCGCTGATGCATCGAACGGGCAGTTTCCCAGGCCCGGGGAATCAAATTCCTGTGATGTATTAAGGAGCCAAGCTCCGCCAGCGACAAATCTCACCCATGACTCCTCTCACGGACCGAGCGATATTATGGTTGATAATTCATCGGGTTCACTGGCTGAGGTCAACCCCCTCGGACCAAATAATATGGCCACCTTCGGCAATCATCAGCCCCTCTTGCAGCAACAACATGCGGGTACGTCCGGAGTCGCTCCATTATTTGCGCAACAATCGACTGTGCTAAACCAAACTATGATAGCCTCGGCGACTTTTATTGCAGGTCAGCATACACTTACAGGTGTCCCGGATGCTCCATTGGTTGAATCGCTGGGCACGTCAGCTGCAAATGCCCCACCCATGACTGATTCAACAGGCCGTGCTGTTCCATTAAAATCAGTCTCCGTAACGAGGAAGAAAAAGAAAGTCAAAAAGGCAGCGCCCCCAAAGCAGCCTTCTCCCGAAGCTTTCGAAGTGGCCACTGCTTTTATGTCTTTCGTTTCTGCTGCGGCTCAGCCTGCCCCTCCTACTTTCGATTTTCAGGATGACACGTCTTCGTACCAGATTGAATCGACCCGCCAACCAACTCTAGCCTGTGATGTGTGCGGAAAATGCTATAAGAATGGCTCGTGCCTGGCGAAACATCAGTGGGAGCATACCGTCCATTGGGATAGTCTCGAATGCGAGTCTGGCGAAGGTGCCCCAGATGATCGTTCGGCGCACAGCATTCATGGAAGTGATGGTAACGACCAGCAATCTGGCCAGCACTTGACAAAACACCAGCGAGTCATGATGCTTGAAGCCGCCAGCATCTTGGTCAATTTCGGGCACGGCATCCAAAGTTCCGGCGATCCCGATAATGGTATCCAAGATAATTCCAGCGGTGATGAGCATGCGTACATTCTCGAGGAAGGCCAAGCTCCGACAACTATGATGGCAACCCGCCACGCGTCCAGCTCATCCTCTGCACCCAGTGTCGATGTCGAGGAGGACGACCACCGCATTTGGAGCGCATGGTTCTCCGCAGCCGCCCGCGAACGACGTCGGTGCAACAAATACGGAGTTTTCGTCGATAGCGTGGAATATTCGGACGACGAGTTGGATTTATATGACGTTGGGGACAAGGAACAGGCCCTGGCTCTTGTTACGCCGCCCTTTTCCACACCGTCGAATTCCCCGTCAAGGGGTAAG